CCTCCTAATTTTCCTATAAACCTAGAAGCGCTCTAAATAAATTAAAGCTTTTTTTGAAGTTAGTCATGTTTTTAAGTAATCTCTACACTCAGTGTGAGGCTCAAATACAGGAACCTGAAATCTGGTCACGTGCTCTTCCACCTGAGCCAGCCAGGCACCAGCAAAAATACAGTTATGTGTTTGCATTTACTTATTTTGAGAGAAAGAGCACGTGAGCAGGGGAGAGGGACAGAGGGAGAGAATCTTAAGCAGGCTCCACCCCGAGCACGGAGCCGGACGCAAGGCTCAGTCTCACGACAGTGAGGTCATGACTGGAGCCAAAATCAAGAGTCAGACAGTTAACTGACTGAGCCACCCAGGTGCCCCTAAAGTTTTTAAATTAAAAACAGGAACAAGTAAACATGAAGCAAAACATTGAAGCGAGAGTTAGTAGCCCTGGATTTTACTTCCCATCCTGCAAGTCGCTTCCGCTTCTTGGGCCCTAATTTATTTTTTTTTTTAATTTTTTTTTCTTCAACGTTTTTATTTATTTTGGGGACAGAGAGAGACAGAGCATGAACGGGGGAGGGGCAGAGAGAGAGGGAGACACAAAATCGGAAACAGGCTCCAGGCTCCGAGCCATCAGCCCAGAGCCCGACGCGGGGCTCGAACTCACGGACCGCGAGATCGTGACCTGGCTGAAGTCGGACGCTTAACCGACTGCGCCACCCAGGCGCCCCAACTTGGGCCTTAGTTTAATTATCTGCAAAGGAAGGAAGTGGGCCTTGTGTTTTTTAAGGCTTTTTTGCGTTCCCCCTTTGTGTGGTAATACTAATTGTTTCTACTTTAAAGCTACAAAGGGCTATCTCAATCTTTGTAGGATTTGTCTACTACATCAAATAAAATGGAATAACACACACATTCATAATGGCTACTTAAGAAGACAAGAAAGTTTTACGTTTTAAATATCTTTTAAACAATTTAATTCAGGCATAACTGTCCTCAACTTCTCATATCTTGAACGTATGTTTTGTCCTTTTCATGCTCACGGTATTAAAAGCTTCCTTCTGTCCTTTTGAGTTTATCCTCCTCACCATATGATATTACTCATAACATGACATATTCTACCCATTATAATGGCATTTCCAAATAAATTCCCCACACGGAGAAGGCTATCATTTTATGGTCATTCTTCACTCATCTACCCCCATCCACTTACGAGTTTAAATTTGATCTCAGACGTGATGTCGTTACTCACCTAATCCCTTCAGAATGTGTTTCTAAGATGGAAATGCTCTTGTATGACTCCAAAAACTTTATTACACACAATCAAATGTATTTGAACCTAATTTGATTTGAATCAAATCAAAATATTTGAACCTATGATATATCATTTTAAGTGCTGGGGTTTGTCAGTTGTTCTCCTTATTTAATGCAGATTGGTTCCAATCAGGATGGAAAATTTAGCCTTAGGCAAGTATTAGGTAAATCTGCAAGGCTTCTAACCATATGTACCACTGACCACTTGTTAGCTTTTATTGTTCACTTGATAAAGTGCTCGGCCTTTTGTCTATTTGAATTTGCTACAGTGTAGATGCGGCTTCTTGACTCCATGACCAGCCTCCTCCCGTATCTCGTATTTTGAGCCCGAGAGCTTTGCTCAACATCATGCAACATGAGGGAAACGCACCTATACCACGGTGAGATACTGCTACACATGTACCAACTGGGTTCACATTTAAAAAGACTAACCGTACCCACTCCTAGCAGAGATACCAGAGAAATGGAACTCTCATACACTGCTAGTGGGAATACAAGAGGAAGGATCATTTTAGATGACAATCTGGGGTCCCTTAGAGGCCCTACATTCACCCACATGCTGACTCCAGGATTAACACAACAGAGAGAGGACCCTGTCAGTACGAAGAACTGTATCCAATTTCTGCAGCATTTTTACTTGCAGCAGCTGAACCTGGAAACAAATATCCATTAACAGGAATAAATAAGTAAACAGCGTCGTATCGACAGGACACACTTCTCAGCGATATAAAAATGAACTGCTCGTACAGGCACCACTGATGAATTCCAAAATAAGTGCCACATGAGGGCACCTGAGGAAATGGACTAAAGACTTTAAGACTTCAATCATACAAATTCTAGAAAATGCAAACTCCTCTATTATAATGACAAGTCAATGGCTGCCTCGAGGATGGATTATCAGGGAACACAAATAAATATGGGGGTGTGGGAAGGTTTATGGTCATGATTGATGGCTTCATGGGTTACATGAATGTCATAACATCAAACTGCATAATTTAATGATGGAAACTGCGTGTCATTTGTACCTGACTGAAGCTTTAACAATAAGGTTCACATTAAAAGTCTGGATTGCCATGAACTACTGGGACCTCATGAAAATAAAAAGCCTCTGCACAGTGAAGGAAACAGTCAGCAAATCTGAAAGGCAACCGACAGAATGGGAGAAGATATTTGGAAATGACATATCAGATAAAGGGTTAGTATCCAAAATCTACAAAGAACTTATCAAACTCAACACCAAAAACCAAGTAATCCAGTGAAGAAATGGGCAAAAGACATGAACAGACACTTCTCCAAGGAAGACATCCAGATGGCCAACCGACACATGAAAAAATGCTCAACATCACTCATCATCAGGGAAATACAAAGCAAAACCACCATGAGATACCACCTCACACCTGTCAGAATGGCTAACATTAACAACTCAGGCAACGACAGATGTTGGCGAGGATGCAGAGAAAGAGGATCTCTTTTGCTCTGCTGGTGGGAATGCAAACGGGTGCAGCCACTCTGGAAAACAGTATGGAGGTTCCTCAAAAAAATAAAAATAGAACAACCCTACGACCCACAGCAATTGCCCTACTAGGCATTTATCCACGGGATGCAGGTGTGCTGTTTCGAAGGGGCACATACACCCCATGGTTTATAGCATCACTATCAACAATAGCCGAAGTATGGAAAGAGCCCAAATGTCCATCGATGGATGAATGGATAAAGAAGATGTGGTGTATATATACAATGGAGTATTACTTGGCAATCAAAAGGAATGAAATCTTGCCATTTGCAATTACGTGGGTGAAACTGGAGGGTATTATGCTAAGTGAAATTAGTCAGAGAAAGACAAAAATCATATGAGTTCACTCATATGAGAACTTTAAGAGACAAAACACATGAACATAAGGGAAGGGAAACAAAAATAATATAAAAACAGGGAGGGGGGCAAAACAGAAGAGACTCCTAAATATGGAGAACAAACTGAGGGTTGCTGGAGAGGTTGTGGGAGGGGGGATGGGCTAGATGGGTAAGGGGCACTAAGGAATCTACTCCTGAAATCATTGTTGCACTATGTGCTACCTAATTTGGATGTAAATTTTTAAAAATAAAAATAAAATTAAAAAAATAAAGTAGAGGAAAGAAAAGAAAAAAAAGGTCTGGATTGCCTACACTTCAGATATCACGTTGGGCCACCATACTGACTCCACCATGTGTGTCCTCATCAGAAGACATAGGTGTCAGCGGCAGGAAAATTAGGTGAGCAATGAAGGTGTTTCCGTGTCATTCAACAAAGACACTGGCTGGGTCAAAAAGGCCTCGCTGTTGAACTAAGAGCTCTCTCCTGTCTCTGTCCTCATTTTGCTGCCATCTGTAACAGACTTTGGTGAACAGCCCAGAGGGGACACAGGAATCCACAAGACCTTGAGATTATTTTTCTGACAGGCCCTCAGCTACACAAGACAGACCCTTCTGGAGGTCCTGAGATTTTCTGTACCTGCTCATCCTTCAAGGTCATAGTGCCTAAATACTGTGGATGCCCTTTTCACAGAGGATCACTCCAGTTTGTTGGTCTCCTGCACTCTCTATTAATCCAATTTGTGTCACAGTGATCATGCCCATGGCCCTTATAGTCTTAAAACCAGTGATGCTACCTACAGAATTCAGGACGTCAAGGCCTGTGGCTGTGCTGCCAGGCCTGGGGAATAGATTTCCTTCAAGAGCACCGGGCACTCACTATACCATCAATATCCCTTGTGAACAAGACAACAACTTTATGTTGCTTAGAAGCCCTGAAGGTTGTCCTAACAGCCAACAACTGCCGCTCTTCGGGTTGAAACTCTGACCCTACAAAATATCCTGGCATCCAACTATAAATTAGGATCACAGAGCCTTTCAGCCTTCCCTTAAAGTCTTCAAGCAGCCATACAAACTAAACTCTGACTGGAGAGCTATCTTCTGCCGTCACACTGTCCCTACTAAGGCACACGAATCTGTCCACATGCTCATGCTAGCAAACACAGTTAACTTCATGCACGCACACAGTGAATGGAATCCCCGCGATTAACAGTGACTTAAACAGTAAGACCTTTATTATGGTACAAACAAGAGCAATGGGAGGGTGACTGCTGGGTTGGTGACTTGCGAGGCTGGGATTTCCATCTCTAGAGTCACGAGGACAGTAACAGCCCTGAGACATGCAGTCCACCTTTTCAATGCACCAACAGTCCTCTAGGCCCAAACTGGGTGAGATCCATGCCCTACCTCAACAGGGAGGAAAAGTGGGGAAGGAGCAATACTGGGGCTGCTCATGGTCATCTGGGACCTGCCCTGACACTGGGGAAGGAGCAAGTACTTGGGCTGTTCATGGTCATCTGGGACCTGCCCTGACACTGGAGCATGGCCCTGGGCAGGTTCACAAAGTGCACTGCAGCTGCCACATCCCTGGGGTTCCTGTGGATGTTTAGATGTATGAGGTTCAACACAGGCAGATGGCACCTTCCGAAAGGCTCTCCTCCAGCGCTGTCACACTGAACACCTGAATGCTGTATACCTGCACATTTCAGGTAGGTCTCCCATTTGAAATTTGTCATCTCCGATGAGGTAAGACCTTTGGCTGAAGGCTTTCTCACAGTCACTGCATTTCTAAGGCCATTCTTCAGTGTGAGTTCTCTGGAGTGCACCGAGGCTAGACTTCAGTCAGCCCCTTCTCCCATCGGCCACATTCCCGGGCCTTCTTCTGATGTGACATTGTGGTGTTTTAGGAGCTTGGACACGGACGTAAATATTTCCCACCTTCAAAACTCATAAAGCCTTTTTTCTGGTGTGAATATTTGAACGGTCACTGAAATGGAAGACACGTGTAAACGTTTCCCAAATTCACCGTACTCCTCAAGCCCTTACCCGGTGTGCACTTTCCGGTGCTTAATGAGGCTGGAGCTATGGCTAAAGGACTTCCCACATTCGCTGCACTCATAAGGCCTTTCTCCAGTGTGAACTCTCCTGTGTTTAATGAGGCTAGAGTTCTGAGTAAAGGATTTTCCACATTCAGCGCACTCGTAAGGCCTCGATCCAGTGTGTACTCTCTGGTGTTTTAGGAGACTGGAACTGTAAGTAAAGAATTTCCCACATTCGCTGCACTCATAAGGCCTCTCTCCAGTGTGAACTCTCCGATGTTGAAGAAGAGCAGAGCTTTGGCTAAAGGATTTCTCACATTCGCTGCACTTATAAGGCCTTTCTCCGCTGTGGACTCTTCGGTGTTCGATGAGGCTGGAATTCTGAGTAAAGGATTTTCCGCATTCGCTGCACTCGTAGGGCCTTGATCCTGAGTGAACTCTCTGGTGTTTTATGAGGCTGGAGTGGTAGGTAAAGAACTTCCCGCATTCGCTGCACTCATAAGGCCTCTCTCCAGTGTGCACACTCCGGTGTTGAAGGAGCGCAGAGCTCTCGCTGAAGGACTTCCCGCATTCGCTGCACTCGTACGGCCGTTCTCCAGTGTGAATTCTCCGATGTTTAATGAGGTTGGACTTGTTGCTAAATAATTTCCCACATTCGTCACACTCGTGAGGCCTTGCTCCAGTGTGAACCCTCCGGTGTTGAATGAGGCTGGAGCTTTGCCTAAAGGACTTCCCACATTGCCCACACTCATAAGGCTTTTCCCCAGTGTGCACTCTCCAGTGGTCACTGAGGCTGTAGCTTTTGCTAAAAGATTTCCCACATTCACTGCACATGAAGCATCTCTCTCTGCTGAGGTGTCTCTGGTGACGAACAAGGGTGTGTCTGCAAGTGAGGTCCTTGGCGCCCTCTCCCGAGGTGCACGGAGTTCTCCTTCCGTGAGAGGCCGCCCCGCACTCAGCTCTCCTGTCTGACTTCTCCCTGGTGTGTGTGGCCCGATCCTGGAGGAATCTCGAGCTCGCCAACAAGTCCCTCACAACCTCGCCACAGGAAAAGGGCTTCCCGGACACACAGAATGTGTAGTCCTTCCAAGAAGAGGCTCCGCCCCTGTTGCTCCCGAAGCATTTCTCTCCAGTGCGCTGCTGCTGGTGCGCAAGGTGTGTGTCGAAATACACCTGCTTGTCACACGCCCCCATCTTGTGCAGTTTCTGTCCACCAGGTGTCGCGTGGTGCTCGGTCGAATGTAAAAGTTCCCTCAAGTCCGGGACACACACCTCACGAGGGGGGGCCTTCTGGGAGGACACAGCCGCCTTGGAAGTCCTGCCCCGTGACACTCCTTGTACAGAAACGCTCTGCTCGGGTGCCTCCTCGTCCCCTGCTCCATGCCAGCAGCCTGAAAGCAGGAAATGCTGGTGAAGCGTGGGCTGACTTTGACGGGAGGGAGGCTAGTACACGAGCTACAAATGTGTGGCCAACAAACCCGGGAACCCATGCACGGGCCTGTCTGCAGGACCACAGAGTTGGCTGAGGTTGAGGATGGGGCTGCTTAGCAGTAGTGGGGTACAAAGAACACTGAATGAGAGAGGCCTTCCGAGATGAAGGCCAAGCATGTGGCGGGACAGAGAGGAGGCAAAAGGTCTACAATTCAGTCCTCTGCAAACAACTTTCCAAAGGAACTTATCGTGGTGACACCAGTGCCGTGCAGAAGGGTGTGTCAAGGCTCAAGGAAACAGGACTGTGACAGGGCAGGTGGTGTCCAGGGACGACTTAAGAACACGGCCACACCTCATGACAGAATACACAGCGGCCACTGTGCAGAGTGCTGCAGGTGGAGTGGTGAGAAAAACCGGTGCCATATGGAGCCCAGAGCTGTGACGCTCACCCAGGGCTGGAAGTTCGAGTAGAACTGACAAGTAACAGGGATGACATTCGCCAAAGCGCCATAAAAGGGCAAGGAAGGACAGAAATGAAGTACGGCCACTGGCTTCAAAGTACCAGTCAAAGAGAATAGGCTTTGGGGGCAATCTGAACCCAACACTGACGTCGTCTTCCTCCAGGTGCCACTCTGCAGGGCCTGGCTGCCTCTGAGCCATCCTGTGGGTGGGTCACCGGACCTACTGTGAACCACCACAGGCTCCCCGATCCAGCCCCACTCCCACCACGAGCAAGGATATGGCACCTTCGTGATACAGGTACTAAGGAGAAGGAGTGGACCGATGAGTGGCCACCAGCAGCCTAGAACAGCCCAGCGCATGACAGCCTATAGGAAAGAGAACTAAAGAGTCCCCGGACAACTCTGGAAGGGGGTCTCGTGAGAACAGCCCATGGTCTGTGGAAGCAGTTAACTCTGGCGGAGAAAGCAACTGCGGGCACAGGCAGGCACGGCGAAGCGTCAGCTAGAGAAGGCAGCTGACCTGGAGCATGCAGATGCCTTGCACGTGGACGAAGTCACCCAGGCAGGAAGAGGGTAGTGAAGCTGGTGTCCGTTAGGTCCACCGCGAGACTCCACCCTCTTCCCTGCACGTCAGCAGGAAAGCAGGTCCCACTCCAGGAAGGAGGGCAGTGCACAGACCCCAGCCTTACCTACTACAGCACCCACCCAGGGAACTGGGGAAGGAAGCAGTGCTCGTGGTCCCAATGTAAAGACAGACTGCTGCTGGGGACATGGGGAGGGCAGAGACTAGCCCAGGGCACAGGAGTGGGTTTGAGGGTCTTACCCAAGGAGGTTATATGGGCCAAGGTCTCCAGCATCACATCCTGGTACAGACATCTCTGAGCCTCGTCCAGGAGACCCCATTCCTCCCCGGAGAAGTACACGGCCACGTCTTCGAAGGTCACCCTGCCCTGGCATGATGGGGACAGATGAAACCACAAAAAGCCCCTGTCCCAAGATACACAATCCCTTCCCCCACCCACCCCTAATCCATGCCCATCCTCCCCCATTCTCCCAACTCAGAGGAGGAACCAGGCCCCAGTGCTGGGAGCCAAGGCGCTCTTCCCTCCTCATGGGCCCACTGATCACAGGGTTCTGCCGACACAAGAGGCACGTGGACAAGTACGTATCCAAGTTGTGGACCTGGCACAGAGGATCCACCCACTCATACTAGGCTATTCTTCTGTGGCAGCCACGGTCACATAAGTCTCAATACCAGGTCCCCAGGCCATCAGGCACATTCCCTCCCTAACTACACACAATTCTGGAAACTGGATCTCACAACCACGTGCCTATGGTCAACACCGCCTCACTGTCCCACGCTGCAGAAAGGTCTCCGGCCTCCCCATATGTGACTTGTATTGTAATCACTTCCTCTTCACCCCACTGGTGAGGGCGGGCGTCCCATCTTAGGGCAATGGGATGACTAAACACACGGCACCCGACCCCGTACAGAGGAGACGGACAGCACTTTATTACCCACAGGTATTCACCGCCTGGGAGAGGAGGACACCGCACCCAGACGGGCCCAGAGCGTGGTTGTTGTGTTCTGAAAGAGTGAACATGGGGTGCCTGGGTGGCTCAGTCAGGTGAGCGGCCGACTTCGGCTCAGGTCATGATCTCGCGGTCCCTGAGTTCGAGCCCCGCGTCGGGCTCTGTGCTGACAGCTCAGAGTCTGGAGCCTGTTTCAGATTCTGTGTCTCCCTCTCTCTGACCCTCCCCTGTTCATGCTCTGTCCCTCCCTGTCTCAAAAATAAATAAAAAACGTTAAAAAATTTAAAAAAAATGGGGCGCCTGGGTGGCGCAGTCGGTTGAGCGTCCGACTTCAGCCAGGTCACGATCTCGCGGTCCGTGAGTTCGAGCCCCGTGTCAGGCTCTGGTCTGATGGCTCAGAGCCTGGAGCCTGTTTCCGATTCTGTGTCTCCCTCTCTTTCTGCCCCTCCCCCGTTCATGCTCTGTCTCTCTCTGTCCCAAAAATAAATAAATGTTGAAAAAAAAATTTTTTTTTAAAAATTAAAAAAAAGAAAAAAGAGCAAACAATCAGGAGCCGGAGGATGAAGGCTTCATTGGATAGAGAGGGTGGGGTGTCTCCTGCTTTGACAGAGGACGTGATCGGCCCATCTGAGTCACTCCACGGGCTGGCAGGGAACTGAAACCACATGAAGGGCTAAGCAGCACACACCTTTGAGGAGAAGGCTGTGTGGCCCGGAAACCTCACCGGCAGCAGAAGAGGGAGGAGGAGAACATCCACTAGGCCAAGTGAGTCCCTCCGCCTTTCAGCACACACAGAGATAGGGCATCACAGGGGTCTTCGCTCTTGGCCTCACACCACAGTGAGCACCAGCTTCCAGAGAGTGCTCGGTAGAGACAAACAGGATCCAACGCCACTCTAGACCTGCCGTGGTTTCCACTAGTGGTGGCAGCCCCAAGACCCTTCTGTGCAGGCCACCCTGCCTCAGACCGGCAGGACCTAGTGTCTGTCACAGGTGACCAGGTCAGCAGGTCACAGGCGACCTTACCCTCCAGCATGAACGAACCCTTCCCCCTCGCCCCGGCTGCACCAACGTCCTCACACATCCTGGCAGAGTTCGCAGAGTGGAGAAGCTCCACAGGCTCAGGCCTGACAGTTGTCCTCTTGCTCTTGTCACTCCTCAGCCTCTGCATCCCTCTCGCGTCTACTCTTCTGCCAGAAACCGCGGCCACCTGCCCGCGCGTCCTGTCCCCACACACTCTCCCTTCATGGCCATTACAACCCGAACTCCCTTTCTCCCCCCTTCTTCCTGGCACCATAATCGCTCTACCAGCATAACCAGAAGACTGCTCCTCGCAGATGTGACTCCCAGCTCACTCGCCTGGGCCCACACAGCAGCCACGATATTTTTAGAGGTCTCCCTTCTGAACCCCTCCCCAGATTTCGGAGCTGTGTGCTGGCTGCCTGCTTAATGCGTCCACTCAGTGCTCCCAAAACATCTCCTGCCCACCCATCACTCAAACTACCAACTTCCTCGTCTCCGTTGACTGAGCTTCCTCCCCATGTCCATGTGAACAAAACCCTGGAAGTATCCCTGAATCCTCTGTTTCACCCCGTGACAGGGTGAAACATTAGAAAATAGAGTTGTCACTTCTTAAAACACACATCCCGACTCCAACGACCTGTAAGCCAGGGCCCTGGTCCAATAACCCTCACCGAGACTATGACAGTAGCCTCCTCCCTGAACCCGCAGTCTACACTTCATGCTATAGCGGGGTGGATCCCATGAGGCCCTTGGTAATGTCACGTCCCTGCTCACATCCAAGCTTCCCATTCCCACCACAAGAGACACCCAACTTCTCAGGCAGTCGTTCCGGTGCTGACTCCTGTGCCCCTGCTCCTTGTTCCCAACCGAAACAAAGGGACCGCTCGTTTCCTGAATAGTTCTGGCCGGGTGTTAACTCCAGCGTGTGCACACCTCGCTACCAGGTCCTGGGACAACCGTCCCCACACCGATTACCACAAACGGAAACACCTTCGTGTAACTCCTGGCACGGGCCTGGGGTTTCTCCAGGGTCTCCAGACCCCAAACTTGCGGAATGGCACTTAAGAGTCCCGGGGACACAACAATCCAGGACAAGGGGGTGGGGGTCGGGGCCAATGAGGGACTGGGGCCGCGCCCACCTGTTGGTGTCGGTTCCAAAAACGCCCCTGCAGCCCCGGGAAATGGGGGCGTGTCCAGCCGTGGACGCGGGAGGCCACGGTGGGTTCCAGGGATCAAGGCTCCCCGAACTCTTGCCGGCCCTGAAGACTACGACTCGACTCGGCTGGCAGTTCAGCCCCTGTGCCTCAGTGCTCTGCATCGCCCCTCACCACGTGCCCCTCCCCTGCAGCCCGCTCCCGCACCCCGTCACGCTGACGCTGAGACACGGGGCCCCCGCCCGCGAGCGCCTTCCCGGCCCGGACACCGGACCTGGGCCGCAGGGACGCGAGCAGACGCCCCGCGTTCGGGCCTCGAGGGTCTGGGTGGGGGGGAGGGCGGGGAGGGCCCTTGGGGCCGCGCGGTTACCTCAGCCGGGTCCCTGGGCGCGGCCACCGCCATCGGACCCTGTGGGTGGGCGGTGGTCACCCGGGCGGGCGGTCCCTGTCCCTCTCGGCTCGGGGTAGCCCGGGAGACGTGGCCACCCCGACCCCTAACGGTTCAGCAGGGTTGGCGCCTCCTCTCGCACCTTCTCGGTCCCGTTATGTCAGTGTGGAAGCGGAACTCCGGAACCTGTTACCAGGTGAGCAAAACTAAGAGCGCCAACATGGCC